CCAAGTGCTGTTTCTTTCCCCTTCCCTCAGTAAGGGAGAAGGATCCGTTGCTTGGCCAGGGTCCCCTCTCCCACCTCTGCTCCACTGGGGCAGACAGATGCTTCTTGCAAGCAACAGAGCATGAAGATAGGCGAGAGAGAAAGGGGAAAATAAACTAATATGTGGTAGTAAGACCTTTGACAACTAGGCCCTTTCTTTCCAGGTCTTCCACACGGCTCTATCATCTCCCCTTACTCTGCCTCTTTCTGTGCGCAGCTAATATCTGAAGGACAAGACACCTCAGGAGTTTCTAAGACCCAAAACATCCACTGGAGAACACTCAGTAAGGCAGATGAATAAGGAAAGCAAAGAAATAAGGATTTGGTTTCTCTGACTTAACCCTCAAATGAGATCAGTGGCTGATAATGAATAAAGGCAGATTTCAATGCAATGAAAAACATCCCATGAGACTCAGCCCACTGCTACTTTGTATTGATGCAAATGATATGGGTGTAATCACATTTCTCCTCTCAGCAGCAGTGCCGTGAGCTGCTCTTGGACCGCACTGCCGGCAGAGCTCCTGCCTCGCTCCTTCCCACCTGAACGGGAGCAGGCGAGACAAGATCAGTAGCCGCTGTTCTGTCATGGAGGGGCTGGAGAGGACAGGGCAGAGCCTGGAGGTTCTACACACAACTTTCAAGTGGAGTCATTGCACAGACAACGTCCCCACCGACTTGGGTCACCAACTGCGTAGCGTCACGGCACAAGAAGAAATTGCGCTGGCCATATGTTACCCACGTTTCTGTTTCTTGTAGGTAATGAGGGCTCAGTTCAGAGCCAAATAAGGATCCAGGCATCACCATGCACCAACCTGGCTGATAGCTGCATGGCAGAAGGGCGTGATAACCTTGCTAATAAATACTAATCAGAAGACAAAAGGCAGTTTTCCGGTTGGGCACTTTCAAGCTAAACCCTTGTGCAGATGCCCAAGCAAACTGTGGGGAGAGTGTCACCAAGAGGATTCCCACACCCACTTTCGTGCTCCTTACAAGAATGCAGGGAGTGAGGATAAACAGTATCACCCGAGGTCAGGCTCATTTTCTGCTCTTTTATGCTTAATCCCTGGAGGCAAGTGATTATCTCCAGGAATTTTCTCCATGGTTAAGCAAAGCAAAAACAGTGGTGTGCTGAGATTAGGGAAAGTCTAAAATGTGTGAACAAATGACCTGAGCACATGGAGAAGTTACTATTAATGCCTAACATTGAACAAACATTAAATAGCCAAATCACAACATAGGATTCATTTTACACTGAGGAAAGCAAGCTGAAAAGCCATTAATCTTGATTTTATATTGTCTACATAGCTCGTGTTTTTATTCCCCATCACTGAGTAAATCAGCATGGCATGATCTTTTGACAGCACTCGCTGCACTGGCAGCCTAAAAACACACAAAAATCAGTGCTTATGAAATGGATAGAGCGGGTTCAAACTTTTTCTCTTCTCCCTGTTGCTGAGGGAAAGGTGACCTGATGTAATCAAAAACCAAACTGTGGGAACACACTGATTCTGCCAGCGGTTTCTGTGGAAAAATCAAGTTTCCCGCTTGGTTTCTTGCAAATTCATCCTTCACTTAGCTGCTGTAAAAACGTGCTGTTTGGCAGGGCTCTTGGCTCCAGCCCATCCCAGGGCTCTGGGCAGCAGGCTCAGAGGGGAGGGAGGGAGGGCAGTGGGTGATCTCCCTTCCCAGCCCCTTCCCACCCTGTGGACAGGTGGGAGGATTCCCAACAGCCTTCCCTTGCACCCCGCAGGAACATGTGGGAGGTACCTCCCATGCACAGCAATACCTGTGCTGCTGGAGCAATGCCTTTTGCTGCATGAGGGGATGATTTGCACAGGTTAAGGGCTAAGGTCTTCCTAGTAAGAGCCACAAGCCTGGTCTCTGCAGGTGGGATCTCTCATCCGGCCCCAGTATAGCATAGGAGGGCATTGAAGGACTGGGGAGGGAAGGGGATATGAGTAAAGCAGGAATAAGAGGCAAGAACATGCATAACACCATGGTGCAAGGAGCAGTAAATGATCCAACCTGCACATGACGGAGAAGAGCCGCAGTGCTACCGTGGGCCAACGTGGAGTGATGGGGTTTGCTCCCAGAGGCCCTCAGAGCTGCTTCACCGCAGCAGAAGCAAACACCCTGGCAGCAAGACATAAGAGACAGTCTCGGGGGCAAGGTGATCTTGGCTCGTTCTGCACATTATCGTGCCCTTTCTGTCCTAGGGAGCATTTAACAAGCTTTTGTGGTGCTGAAGCAGAAACCTTAAGTGTTGCACTGTGCGAGGAAGCAGCCGCTCTCCCCGCGGCGCGGCGAAAGGGCTGTCTGCGTCCTTCCCCGCTGCCGAGAGCCAGCGCCGCTCCTTCGCCGCCCAGACAGCTGGCGTTTCAGTGCATTAAGGCAGGGAGAGAGCAAAGTGGGTTTACATGCTTGATTAACATCATCGTTGCCAAGATACATGACCACGTTGCTCTGCGTATTGATTATTTCATTCTATCATGCAATTTATCTAGGCTGCAGGGCACTGAAAGGAGGAACAAAGGGAGCTGATGAGCCGTGGGGCTCTTTGGCCTAAATTACGCCTGCCCCCACAGCAGTCCCTTCTCAGGGCTCCCTGTGGCTCGGCAAATTCCTGAAACGGGTCAGCAGGGTGGCCAAGCCAAAAATGAGTTACTGGCCCCAAGCCTGGCCTTAGCACGGAGCACGTGTTTTGTGCAGAAGTGGCACGTTGTCCCCGTCTCGGAGGGCAAGAGGGCAGGGGCAGGCACCTGCGCGGGGTCGCTTCACGCCGATGTGCATCAGCTCGGCCGTGGCGAGGGGGGGCTGCCGTTCCTGTAACCTCACCACCCCCACAAAAACCCAAGCCAAGCGCCAGTTAGGATCACACACCTTGCTCTGCTTTCTCATAGTGCACCTCTCTTCCTCACCTTGAGATTTTTGGGTTATTGGCTAACGCCAAGGTCTCAAGCGCTCCTTCCATTTCTCTCCCTTATTCGGCCACCCACCTTCCAGCCTCCCCAGCTCACAAGCCTTTTCTCCCCAGGAAGATGAGCTCTTTTCCCTTATGCAGCAGCTGCTTCCGGGAATCGTCCCTCCCTGCTTGGCTGCACGACTCTCCTCAGCGCAGCATTTGTGGAGAGGGCCAGGGAGCAAGAACCGGCCCTTCAGGCAGCCCTGAGCCGCGTTTGGAAGATGCCGGTCGCAGCCACGTGTCGCTGCCGACGGACGAACGCGCGCTGCAGCCTGGTGCGCGCCGGCGCGCTGCTGGGTCCTGCGAAGTCACGGCAGCGAAGCTCTGTGGCCCCACGCGTTCGCACGGAAAACCGGTGGAAAGTCATGCATAAGCAGTCCCAGCTCCAACTCGGGAGCTGTCAGAAGGAGGGTCGCCTGGCTGAGGGAAGGAGAATTTTGCCTATACATAAATAGCCACCAAAATAGCTGAAGGAAAGCAGAGGGAAACAAGTGGGAAAGCAAACAGTGGTTTTTCTAGCCGAGCCTGCTTTGCTTCCTATGTAAGAGTCCCTCCTTTGAGCAGGTAGTAAATGCTGTGCTGGCATGAGCAGCTTCTGGAGAGTCCTTTTTGCTTAAACATCGAGTCCATCACTGCTGAGAGTGCCCACCTTGCCTGCACACCTATAAAGCAGCTCGGGGTGGCCCATATCCCTCTCTGGGCACACCTGATCCCACCAGCAGCGACATCCCAAAGCACCAGAGAGACACTGGAGCACAATTACAGCTCTTTAAGGAGTCAACAAACCTTCTCTTTGAAAACAAAAATGTCTGAAAACCCCAGGCATTTACGGTCTAGCTCCTCACTAAAATGCCTTAGAAAACCAGGCATAGCATCTTCTCAGCATCAGATGATGTCTCTGTTAAGGCAAAGCCCAACATTGTGCACCAATGGGCGTCCATGTGGGGCAAACTACGACTATTACCTTCCTACAGGCAGGCTTCCTTCCAGATGGTAAATTGACTTCAACGCTGGAGTCAAGATTCAGCGGGGAATGCAGGAATTTGGAGTGCGCAAAGGGCTTTGAGCTCTTCCTGGGGATTAGGAGGGAGAACGCTTAGGACACGAATAAATTCCATAATGCCGAATAAGGCATTTTGTTTTATGGCTTTGCCATAAGAACTCATCTCTGGGTGTTTATAATCAGCTGAACTAAACAGAAATAAAGATGTTGAGTTTTTCCTCATCAACTTTTTCTTTTCTGCAAAAAAATTGCCACTGCCAATAAAAAAATCCCTCCTGGTATTACCTGAGTAAGAATATTGATCTCAGTGCAGAGAGCAGACACTTTTCCTTATTGCACAGCTCGCTGGCTTATCCATCTTTCCTGGCTGCAGAGTATTGTTTTGGTTTTATTTTCAGAGCACTTCTGTAATTCATTGCCATGCATGGTCATGCCTAACCCTGCAATGCCTAGGAAGAATAGGGGAATATTTGAGAAGAGCTTATTTCAGTCCTGCATCTGACACTACCTCTGAGAGCAAGTAGCAGCCGGGCACCACTCGCAAAACCAAGCACAAGATCTGCCTGTTGCGACACTCGGAGCAGCTTTGGCAGCTGGCAGGGTTCCAGGAACTCATGGTCATCTTCCACTGCCAGTTTTCTATCATTTTCACATCTTCAGTTCCTAGGTTGCCTCCGGACAAAGCCAGCATAACAACAGTTCCTACTGACCTCAACGAAAGGCTGCTTCAGTGTCACT